AAAAGCAGAATAAACCCTTTGAAACTACCATTCAAGATATACCAAACTAAAAGTTAAAAGAAAAACTCATCAATTTCTCCCATTATTTATATTTATTTTAGAGATTCAAAGGAGTAGGCCATTCCAGAATAGTTCAACCTTAGGTCAATTGATTAAAACATATATCTTGAACGACTAGATATTGTTGGAGTGCAAAATTAATTGGACGTAAATTGAACCTGTATTTATTTAAATAAAAGGAAAAAGAAAAGAAAAAGAGAAAATATGGGTCCCACATGAAGGAAAGAGATTCATAGGGGTTAGTTAGGTGGTCATGATATGAATGACAAAACTTTAAAGCACATTATTCAGAGAGAGAGAGAGAGAGAGAGAGAGAGAGAGAAATTAACAAAGTGGAAGCTGCCAAATTCATAAGAAAGAAAGATAAGAGAGAAAAGAAAAAGGTCAGGGGGAGTGTCGGTTACCCCTAAAACTGTCCCAACAGCTCATCTTTGCCTACTAACCGACATTACCATCTTAGCCCTTCCACCAACTTCTTCTTTCATTTACAAAAACTCGGGTCCGACTCAACATCGAAGTGGTCTCGTGTGCAGTCATTGTGTTGGCGAGTTTGAATTACCTGTAAAAAAGTTGAAATTTAAACTTCTGATTTTAAAAATAGTAAATGTTTTCCATTGCTGAACTATGCTCGTATCGATACCTCGTTATTGTTTAAATATTCAACTTCAATTTTAGGGTTTGATCAGTAATGCGTTAAAACGGTTACCCAAATTTTCTATTTTAGAGCTAACTAAGTTATGATTTTCTTGAGTAGGCTAAGGAGAAACTAGAGGGACACAAATGAAAATGACTAATAGATCAACGTTTAAAGGTAGTTTGAAAGGATCAAAATTTGTTGGCCATGATAAAGTTTAGAGAGGAAGACTATATTTAAACCTTTTTTCTCTTCCTTTTGCAAATTTATTTTTTAGGTTGAATATATAATATGTCCTTTTATATTGTGATGCTTTCCAATTTTGTCCTCCATCTCTCTCTTTTAAAAGAATATTAAGTCACAAGTAGAAAAGGGTTAGGGGTAAGGATTTGTTAAACATAGTATTTTCTTGTTTTAAGAAGAGGTTTCATAAATTACATTTTCTTCGACACAAAGTAGAAAATGGTAAGAATTTGTTTAGAGTTAACTAATATTATGTCTATATATAAAATAGAAATACTACTCGTTTTACACGTAATTCCACTGGTAGCTAGCTGTAATAGTTTAACCGTGTATTCATAATGAATTTTTTTATTATTATTTTTTAAAAATATTGCATTGTAGAGTGTGATTATTTAAACTTTTTCAACATTCAACCTATAAAACGAGATGACTAATCTAAATTCAAAATATACTAAATGCAATGTTTTTCTAAATAGTAAGATTTTGATTGGAAAAAAAAAACACAAATCTAATACATTTGGACAAAATGACACACGAGAGACATTTTTCTACATTTTCAGCCTCTTTTTTAGGATAACACCAAATATTTTCAAACAATAAAAAAAGTTATTGTTAGTTTATGAAAAGATTGAGGAAACACAATGAAGATGGCGTAAGAAGATAATGGTGTGGGAGACAAAAAATCTAGCAAAGTGGTGTGGCGTGTGAAGTTTAAGCTTAACACAAGGCTCAATGCTACAATTTTCAAAAACAATGCCCCAAAAATCCTGCCTTAACATATGCAATAATCTCCCACAAAACACCAAAAATCACTCCCATTTGACCATCAATGTCATCACTATTTTTATTTGACTCCCTTTTTCAACTTCTTCCAACTTAATTTGCCAACCCCCTTCTTCTTTTCAACTATATTTTAGTTAATTATCACTTTAAAATATCGACTTCGTGTTCGTCGATAGATTATCTATATTTTTCTAATATAAAAATAGTTCAATTAGGCTAATGTTAAATTATTAATCAACCAAAAAGCTTAAGCTGAGCTGATGGAGAGGAAATAATTACAATACAAGAGTTCGAAGACATAACCTCCCTGTTTTGATACCATGTTAAATCACTTATCATCCCAAAAATTTAAGCATATGGGTTACGATAAATTTAACTTTTTATAGATACTTTAATATCTAGCTAGATGTATGGTCAATATGAATATAGTGAAAGTGGATAAAGATACCTATTGACTTCTTTGAGATCTTTTCAATTTCTTCCCCGTATTATTGTACTGGAAAATTTAGTTCAAATTTTCACGCCCTAAAAGAAAAAGTAAGAGATTGAGGCAAATATATATTAACTTTTTTGTTAAGAAAAATATAGAATAATTATTTGAAGAATTGGTGTCAAAATTGGGTCGAAATCACATCCTCAATCTTCCAAAGTTTTGCGGGAGAAATAAATACTTTTGGACTATGAATAGGGTGGGATCCTTTGGAGATTTTTTTGTCATTCCCATATTTGACTTCATTTTGATAAAATGTCTTTGAAAGCTATAAATCATCAAACAATTTTCTTTTTCCTCGATTTCTAAAAATGTTGAGTAGATTGAAATAAATCAATTTGTCAAAAGGAAAAAAAAATTGAAATAAATGACCAAAGGAATAAAAAAGAAAAAAAGAACGCCGAATTTTTGTTAAATGACAAAATAAAATAATGCATTTTCAAATTTGTCACAACTGTTATATTTTTATAAACTATATATTAGTGCCTTTTTTTAAATATAATTAACTAATATTAAGTACGTTTATTGTTGTGAGATTAATTTAATATTGATGTAAGCAGTTCCAAGTTGGCATTAAATGTTTTTTTTTTAATTGCAACTTCTTCAAAAGAAAAATGAAAATCTGAGTAATCGAAATTAGATAATATGAAATTCGTTGAATTAAAAAATAAAAAATAAAACGGTGGGTCCCACTGCCAGCAGTATCATTTTAATTTTTACACATGGTAAGGTGAAGCGCTAGCTACGATACCCACCGCGTTCTCTCCCCTTTCATTTTCACCTTTTTCTGAAAAGGATCAAACATAAATAAATAAATAAAAACACATAATTCATTTTTTCATAAAACATTAAAGTAAATAAAATTTTAATTTGATTTATCCAAATTAAAGACAAACCCCGACGGCCAGCTTAATTAAGTAAGAAGCATTTCAAGTCATAAAATAATTAGGGTTAGAAATAGACATACTAATAATTGCTTCCAACGACAACCGATAATTAAATATTATATATTCCCAAATCACATTTTCTTTTTATTATTTTAGAAAATTATTTAACGAAATATCTAAAAATTAATTTAACCCACCACCCACTGATTCCCCCCAACAAATGCCTTCGAAGTTTATGATTTCTTTCTTTATTGTCAATTTTTTTTTCCTTGAAGGGAATTTAATAAATAACTGAAAACTATATATTTTATGTAGTTGAATAGTTGTTTGATCCTGTTCGTTAGCGTTGGAAAGGACCACATCTTTTAATTTTTTTATTACAAAAAATTAATAAAATAAAGAATTTAAATGCCATTTTATTTTGGTTTCGATTTAGTTCATTCTAGTATTGTGCTTTCAAAATGTTTACTTTAGTCTCTTGATTTTCAACTCTCATGTTTTAATTTATGTAATTTCGAAATATTCGTTTTGATTATTGTACTTGACTATTTTGGTCTCTATTTGTAAAATTTATACACAATGAAAATTTTGTAATACAATGTATGACTATATTTTAATAAATTGAATGAATGCAGGTTAAAATTTTGATCAAAATAAAAATGAAAATAAGTGAATCAAGATTGTTACTTTTTAAAAGTACAGGAACCAAAACAATCGTTTTAGAAGTAAAAGTATTAAAATGAACAAAGGTTTAAAATATAGGAACAAAAATAGATGTTTTAAAAATATATGTACAAAAATAAACTAAAACGAAAGTATAGAATACAAAATAGTATTCAAACGCAAAAGCAAGTATAGTTTGACGGTTATTGACATATATCTTCAATCAAGATACTGTGAGTTCAATCTTTACTTTCACATATTCTGCTATTTTGAAATTAATCAAAAGAAGAAAAAAATATATTTAATAGCAACTATGAAGTTAGATCATGTGTTTCCTATTTTAACGGCAATTCTTCAACTGATATTTCATTAATTGGAACTGAAATTCTACCGTCTACTTGCAATGGATAGATTTCCCTTTTCTATTTTTAAATAATTTTTTAAAGGTTAACGTTAATTTTTGTCTTTAGTTTCTTAAGTCCATATTTTCTAAGTACCGTTGCAAAACATTGTTTTTTCTTCCTTTTGTTTGTTTGGTTTAAATCATCAATTAGCCAATATTAAACTATTATAATTTTATTTTTAAATATTAAAATTTAACTCTCAAGCCTAGTCCATATAAATTCTGAAACCTTACTTTATTTTATCTTTATTTTTTAAACTTTTAATTGTGTATCTAATGCACTACTAAACATCCGAATTTGACCAAAATTAACCCACCGTGTAATTCTCATATAAATAAAATAAACGTGTAAAAGAAAAGTTTTAAAAGACATTAATAAATAGTCCGTTAAAATTAGAGACTAAAATGGTAATTTCATGAGTGATATAATTTTTGTAAGGTTGGCAGAGATGGAAGGTGTAAATAGTCAACGAAAGCCACATCCTAGAAAAATGAATCTTAACAGTTAAAACTTTGCTTTCTTTTAAAATATTTTAAATTAATTTAATTGTATGATTGAGTACATCAGCCCCTATAAAATAAAATCCCTCTAATTTTAATTTTATATATTTTTTTATAAATTTTTGTTTGGTTTTTTGGGTTTGGGCAGCCAGTTGTTGGGACACAAAAAACAGTAGTAATTTTTGGGTGTTTTAGAAGATAGAGCAGATTATGAAATAAAATAGAAGCAGCCAACCAAACACAAAACTAAGTAAATTAATAGTAAAATTAAAGACCCAATTATGATCCCTCCTTTACTATATATACACCCATTTCTCCCTCTTATTAATCACTCTCTCTCTCTCTCTCTCTTCCTCTGCCTCTCTACTGTAATCCCAATTCTTCAATTTTTTCTTGGGAAAAAGCTTTTGGTAGCAGAGGCAGGAGAGAGCCCATTGGGGGCTGGTTTTAATTGTAAGAGAGAGAAGAGAGATCAGCCATTTTTTTCATCATACAGAAATTTATATTATAGAGAGAGAGATCTGAGTTGGAACTTGCCTTTTCAGTGTCTGAGTTACCATATTTTCAAGGATTTTCAGTTGATTGCATACCAATTACAGATTTAACCCACTCCCCCATTTCCCTTTAAACTCCTCACTGATCTGTCGGTAGTTTAATTTCATCCTCACATTCTGTGTTTGATCTTCGTCTTGAGGCCGCCATGGGAGAAGCTTCGCAGATACTGTTGCCCGAGAGTTTCCAAGGCGGCAGAGGCGATTTCACAGAGCAAATTTGGCTGATATGGGAGCTAATCAAAGCCCCATTGATAGTTCCCGTGCTGAGATTAATGGTTTATATTTCACTCGCAATGTCTCTCATGCTGTTCTTCGAAAGGCTCTATATGGGAGTTGTCATCATTCTGGTCAAGCTCTTCTGGAAGAAGCCCGAGAAGCGCTACAAATATGAACTCCTTCAGGATGATTTGGAAGCCGGAAGCTCCAATTTCCCCTCTGTTCTCATTCAAATCCCAATGTTCAACGAAAGAGAGGTACTACACTAATTCTGTTTGGATCCTGCATTTTTGTTTCCATCTCCGGTCGAAATTAGCTCTGAAATCTGTGTTGGCTTGTTTGGTTCAGGTTTACAAGATCTCCATTGGAGCTGCTTGTGGACTTTCATGGCCGGCCGATCGCCTCGTCATCCAAGTTCTTGACGATTCTACCGACCCTGTCATTAAGGTACTATAAAACCAGATTGATTTTTCATTTTTCAACTCAAATTTCTGCGATGTGGGGTTTTTTCATTTCAGCTCCGGCATTAATTCGCCATTTCTTTTGCTGCTTGTTGAGTCGTTTTCTAATCTCGTGGCTCTTCTGTCCCCTTTTTCCCACCCATCATTTTCAATCCAAACCCCAAATCACGAAAGAGCAAATTTCACAACAGAAACAGAAACCACTCGTTTCTTAAGATCCCAATCGAATCAATCTGCTTGTTTGTTGTTGAATGGAAATGCAATTATTTTGGTTTTTGCAGCAAATGGTGGAGCAAGAATGCCTGAGATGGGCGAGCAAAGGGATAAACATAACCTACCAAATCAGAGAAACCAGAGGAGGATACAAAGCCGGAGCTCTGAAAGAGGGGCTTAAACGGAGCTACGTCAAACACTGCGAGTACGTGGCCATTTTCGACGCCGATTTCCGGCCGGAGCCGGACTATCTCCGGCGAGCCATTCCGTTCTTGGTCCATAATCCCGATATCGCCCTCGTTCAAGCTCGCTGGAGATTCGGTAACCACTCACTCTTCTTACTCCACTCCCAGGCCATAAATGTCATTAATCAAATTTCTAATTTTGTTTTAATTTGGTTTATACTCATCATTCCACCTATAATGTTATATAATGCCTGCCTGTGCCTTGATTTTTTTGATGGGTTGGTTTAGAAATTTCAACTGCACGTATTTGTTTTAGGGAATTTAATTAGCGTTAATTAATTGCATTACCGTGTTTAGTTTAATTACCTTGTTGGAGTGTCGGTGGTCAGTATTTTTTTTATTTATATTTATATTTTTCTTTTAACGGGGTGGGTCTTTCTTTTTTTAATTTCTTTTTTCTTGTTGTATTCATTTTTCACTCTCATCGTCGGCGGGCGAGATTGGATGCAAGGGGTGGGGCCCGCACTCACACAAAAAAGAACCATCAATCACGGGGTGGGGCCTACCTTTCCGCAACCCCTCTCTGCCACCATGATCGGGACACATGTTCTACAGAGCTTCATCACGAGCTGTGGGCCCCACCCTCCAGAAAATAAACGAAAAATAACAATAATAATATTTTAGCATTATTAATAACCGACGAGTCAAGAATCAAAATCTTCTTTTTTTTCCTTTTTTTTAATATATAATTTTTTTTGATACTTTGCCTCTCTCTCTCTCTTTTTTTTTTTATGAAGAAGAAACGTTTTCCCTTTAGATTTATAAGATAGTATAATGTAATATGATTTAGTAGGTGAAACTTTGGACTAGAATTGTTTAGTTTAATTGCCGCATTAATGGACCGTAATGTCCCTCGAGAGAAATTAATTGAGCTTCGTCAAAATTTAATTTCATTAATAAATGTTGGAGTCTTTTTTATTTATTTAATTTTCGCCTCTGAAATTATTCGCCGAAATGATGTAAGCGTTATAGCCTTCTGCGGACAGTCAACATCCTGTCCCCAAAACCTAGCAGGAAATGGCAGTGTTGTCCGGGGTAGAACTGTCATTTCGCATGTTGAAAATTTTTCCTTCTATTTTTCTTTTTTGCCATCTCCGGAATGTACGGGGTCCGCGATCGAAGGATGTGGGGAGGGGTAGTCTTGTCATTTAGAGAAGTTGCCTCCACTCTCCACGTGCCTTTCCCAGAAAATTCCTTTTTTTTAATTAAAAAAAGTTTAGATCTTTCTTTTTTATTTTCTATTTTTTGGTATTTAAAGTGATTCGTACAATCAGCGCCTTATTGGTAGGCCTCGTTATTGCTACCGACACTACT